GGGGGGGGGGGGGATTTTCCAAGCCACCAAGACAAGAACAACTAAACCTCAGTCCCTACTAACCACGTTACTCCATTTAAATCATCTCATACCAATATGATGCAAACACAAATAAATAGTACTAGAAGTTCTGTATATTTTCTAAACGTATACATCTCTAAAAGATTAAACCCCTCCTAGAAAGTATAAGACCTAAAGTAAAAGTGCTAACGTCTAAAACATATTCTTAACTAAAATGTACAATCAAGTACTATTCCCTTACTTGTTGAACTCCATGCCTTTTTCTTAAATGCTTCATGAAGTAGGGAAAAGAAGGAAAGAGAAGGGAAAACAGAAAATGTTTCGACCTTCCATTCGATTGACATAGCTCTGTCAGAAGGGAGCGACCGGTGTGGATACTTCATGTACTCAAAATACACTAAGAATTAACAAAAAGGATTTACACATATTGGTTCAGAATACTTTCACTCGTGTCAAATATGTAATGTTACTAATGTACCATGGCTAAGTCAATGCCCTTGCTCAATTTGACAAAAGAAAGAGAAGGAAAGTGGAAAAGAGAATAAGTTTCTTCCTGAGTCTACCATTTCTCCTACTTCTCTCCTATTTACCCTACTTTTACTTGTTCTTCCCTTTCCTTCCCTTCCTTTCCGAAGGTGTCAAGCATTGTATTAATGTTGTATTCAGAAGCATAGAAGGACACAGGAGCAGTAAACAGTTTGAGATGTAAACTTTCTTAACACTTGCATCATTTCTAATAAAAAGCTTCTAATCCATATTTTTAAAAAGAGAGAGAGAGAGAGAGAAGACTGATACAGACAAATTAATTGCTAAGTTTTTAATCTTAAGTAGACAATAAACAAGAGATACCATTAACAGCAAGGACATACTTAGAAACCTAAGTAGCTTTGACACACTTAAATATGGAACCAATAGATAAAAGATTACTTACTTCAGAATGCGTTCCTCCAGTTCTGAAGCAGAAGATTGTGATCCAGCTGTTTCAACTGCATTATTTCGTGCCCTATCGTCATCCTCATAAGAAACAATTTCTTGCTTGGCCACATCCTGATAATCAGAATCTTCATCATCAACTCTTTGCACATCATCCTTCCGCCTGTCCTTACTCCTATCATGACCCTCGTCTCGCTGCCTACGGTTGCCTCTATCTTTGTCTCTTGACCTCTCCTTATCCTCATCAGCTTCCCTCCCCTTCTCTTTAGTTCTCTCTCTTCCCTTTTCCTTGTCAACTGCATCTCTACCTCTTTCCCTGTCATGTTCCCTTTCTTTTTCCTTTTCCCTATCTCTGTGCTTCTCCCTTTCCTTCTCCTTGACCCTCTCCTTTTCTTTATCCTTCTCCTTGTCCTTGCCCTTGTCCTTCCCCCTCTCCTTCTCTCTCACCCGCTCAGTATCCCTTTCCAACTCCCGGTCTCGCTCCTTTTCTTTTCCACGATCTCTACGGTCTTTATCTCTTTCCCTGTCTTTATCTTTATACTTGTCCCTATCGCTATCTTTCTCCCTAATCTTCTCCCTAGTCTTATCCCTTTCACGCTGATCTTTATCCTCCTTCCTCCTATCTCGAGTTGACGACCTATCTTTCTCCAAGTCTTTACTCTCACGATCTCTTTTATATTCTTTCTCTTCTCTTCGGCTGCTACTTTTCCTATCCTTGCTTCGATGCTTACTTGAATCTTTAGATTTATCATGCCCACTTTCTTCCAAATCATAGTGCCCATCTTCCCACCTCTCCTTATCCGGAGAGTCATCATGATCCCTCATTTCAACACTTCTTTCACGCCCATCGATCTCCATCATTCCCATCAGAAAAAGGATACACCGTATAAGTAATTTCACTACCAACAAGTTTTAAAAATCCCTGAGATGAAGTTAAGTGAACACCACATATAAGTATACTCACATAGGCAAAGGAAAAATAAGGAGAAAAAACATCAAAGAAAGCATCTACTTTTACAAAAAAAAAAAAAAAAAAAAAAATGTTGATAGCAAGAGAATGGAACTGGAGATTATGTTGTTATCATCCCAACTGCTCAATCAAAAACCATTTATACTGTATACCTTTCTAATAATAGCAATTTTGAGCACCCAATAGTGTGGTCTAGTAGTAAAAGAATCAAGAGGTTTCAGGTTCAAATCTCAATTGAGGCAAGAGTACTAGGTGTTTCTTCTCATCTGCACAGTTCCGAGAAGGGTAAAGTTACCCGGTATATGTGCTGGTGGGAGGTAGCAGGTGCTCATGGAGTAGTCAAGGCACGTGCAAGCTGGCCCGTACACCACCATTATTAAAGAAAACTAACAATTTAGGAAAAAGTAATACTTAACTAATATACCAAAGGTGAATTATTTATTAATTGTGTCGTACAAATTATATTTAGAAAGCAAATAAGGATGCATAATAGCTCGCAAAATTCACGAATAAATATCTCAAAATCAAAGTTGAAGCTTACTATGAAGACCAATTCACAATTAGTATTATACCCTAAAAATTGTCGGAAAATTAGGGGTTTTTCTTTATAGGTGAATCTTCAGATAAGGAGAACAGGAAATAGGATAAACGATAGGAGGAACTTACGGTTCAATTTCACCGGAGAAGATATCGACGGAGTTTGCCGCAGAGATATCGGTGTACCAGTGAGCTTAGCAATGGAGGGCGTCAAAGTTCAGTCGAGGAGGAAATTTTTGGAGTGATTTGAAATTGAGGACCAAAGCCAAATTTGGGCTGAATTTTGAGTCGATTAGAGATGAAAAAACCAACTTGAAGGGATATGGGCTTTGTTTAAAATTGCAGTTCCCTGGCCTCATTCTAAAGACCAAATATATGTTGGATTTGGAAAAAGAGATCTTTACACAAGTAGCCACTCATATTTATTATTTACTTTTTCTAGCCATATATAGAGATTATACATTCATTATACATAATTATAGACATATAATACATAAATTATGTATATATTATACTTCCACTGACTATTTTTAGTTTAAGCGGTTGGGTGGGCAGCTATTTGGGTTAATTCTTCTTGGAAAAAATATTGTAGTAATTACACCAAATAGTCATTCTAAAGGGCTACTATTTAGGAATTAACCAATGTGTCCTGAATTTAAGTTTTTCAATTCAATTTTTCGGGACACAAATATCATGAATTGTCCTGAAATTAGGATTTTTAGTTTAAATTTCAGGATAAAATAAGCATTGCTAATTTCTAAATAACATCCCTAAGAATGATTATTTGTGCACTTCTCCCAAAAATGTTGATACTTCTCAAAACACGGCTTGTTTAATTTTCATTCGGACAATTATTTTTACATGGCAGGAAGTAGGAAAAGATAACAGGGGGAAAATTGATGATGATAACATGATAAATTAAATAGGTAAATAGTTACCTTTTCATTATTACAATTAGGGGTGGGCATAAAATCCGAAAAATCGAATTTCGAACCGGACCGAATTAATTCGGTATTTCGGTTTCGTTTTTTTCCGGTATTTCGGTATTAAAATTTTGAAATTTCGGTATACCGAAAATCCGATCTTTAAAAGACATTTTCTTAATTATTACTGTCCACCCAGCCCATCGCCCCAGCCCCAAACGCCCAAGCCCATCTTAATTCTTATACCCAAGCCCAATCCTAAACTCTAGAGGTTAGCTGGTTACTGGTTAGTGGATAGGGCATTAGCATTTAGCAATTTAGATTACAGTACAGTTGAGCGGCGATTTGGCAATTTCCGACTTCCTGGCGATTTCCGACTTCCGAGCTCCGACTTCTCACTCCTCAGTCCTCACTCCTCACAAATTCCGGGCAAACGAAGATGTTGTTGTTGCGAACTTGCGATAGTTTCAATTTTCAAAGGTATGTTTCTACTTTCTAGCGATTTCTACTTTCTAGCGATGGAAATGAATTTGATGAAGATTTCTAGCGATGTTCTTTAGCGAAGATTAATTTTATATTCGAAACTCATTTTTTTATTAAGTGTTTGATTAGGTATAAAGTAGGTTGACATATGAGAATCCTATAAGGTATAGTAGTAGAACAGGGAATGAAGATAGTAGTTTCGTGAAATTTCTTTAGCAGTAAGCGTTGGCAGTTGTGTATAGATATTGATTGAAGTAACTGATACAGGAAAATGATTCTGTAACCTAATTTATGTAGCCCGTTGCACAAACTGTAGTAATTGTATCTTACTAGAGCTAACTGGATAGAAACTGTACTAATTTCGGTTGTTGTTGCTCTCTGTTCTTTAGTAATGGACATAGTACTCTGATTAATTTTGGATAGATCATATTGTAATTTGTATTTGACAGCATAAAGATAAATGAAGATGATTACAAAAAGATTTTGTTTTCTCTTTCTATTTTGTTAAAATCTTCTTTAGACTTGGTGGAATCTTCAACTTTATTTAGACTGATATATGACTATATTTTAATCGGCGGGCTAATGGACTCGATATTGTGTTATTGTTAGCATCTTTTAAAAGAACTGCTAGTGTTACTGTTAGCATCTTTTAGCTGCTGCAAGACCTCAAACTTGTTGAATGTTGTGTATTTGTGTTTATGGTTTGGCTGTTCAGGTGTTCTTGGCATTGGCAGTGTGTAAATATAATTGGCACAGTGCAATTGGTTGTTCAGGTGTTCCTGATGTTGCTGCTGCATCTTAGTTACAATTGCAACTTGGCAGTATGTAAATGTTTGGTTGTTCAGGTGTTCTGCAGATGGTTTGGCTGTTCAGGTGTTCTGCAGATGCTTGTTACATGTTGTGCAGGTGTTCTGAATGCTAGTCATCTCTTTTAAAGAATGACAAGAATAATTCTGGTTTTTCTTGTTTGGCTACAGATCTATTAGCTTGGCTGCAGATGATTGTTACATGTCCTGAAGCCTTAAGTCTAATTATGTTGTGTGCCTGTGTCTGTTTAAGACTGAAGGCACAACTGCATTTGTTACTAATTGTAATTTTCATTCACAACTGCATGCCTAAATTCAAGCTGATCTTCCCTCCTATAACAGTGTAAACAATCTAGTAAGTAAATTTTTTTCCTCATCCCTATAACATAATAGTATGCAGGCAGGCTATTAAAGATCAGAAAACTAATAAGGTAATGAGAACTAACAGGTCCAAGCAGGCAAGAATGCACGCCCAGTTACAGACCACAAAAATAACCAAAAGGTGCTATATTTGGCATTTTCCTTTTAAGGACTAAGATTTCTTCAACTGGTTGTGTTTTTTCAAGAAGCGACTTTGCTTTCTTAATGTAAAGTCTTGACACGTCTATATGAAAAAGCAGCTTAATATTGAAGCAATATCGAAATTTAATATTGAAGCAGAAATTTCAGTAGTTGACGCGCCAATATTTTAAATATTACTCATTAATGTATCAAACCGAAACCGTGCCGAACCAAAATAAGAAATACCGAACCGTACCGAAATATTTTGGTACGGTATTTGGTATACACAATTGATAAACCGAATACCGAAATACCGAACCGAAATTCTTAAATACCGAACCGAAATACCGAATGCCCACCCCTAATTACAATTAGGCTATACATCATTTAGGTGTAAGGTTCAAATTTCACCAAGGGTTTTTCTCTTTGTCTATACAACAACAACCCAGTATAATCTCACTTAGTAGAGAGACTATTTCCAAATAAAAACTCGACATATTTCTCTCAAAGAACTTCCCACCTTGCTTTTGGGGAGACTCGAACTCACAACCTCTTGATTGGAAGTAGAGTTTGCTTACCATCAGCGCAACCCCTCTTCTTCCATTATTCATTGGTCTATCTATATTAAAAATCCCTCCTTTGGAAAAGGTTTAAAATAAATTTGATGTTATTTTCCTTTCTTTGCGAGGCTAAACCAATTTTGAGATTTTATATACTCCATCATTTTACCGAGGATTTTTCATTTTTTAAAATTCTTTCGTGGGGTTAAGTGTTTCTGATTTGTGATTAGTAAGAGAAAAAATAAAAAGGAAAGGTCTTTGATGGGAATTGAACAGTGCACCTAGGTGGTGCAGGGGTGAAATTGCGTAGAACAAGCTATCATGCCAGATGCTGTATATTATACCATGTTTAATAGAAGTCAAAATCTATAGGATAAGGGTTCAAGAACAGCAATAACAACAACTACGCCTGAATATACATGTTTAATAGAAGTTAAAATCTATATTATAAGGGTTCAAGAACAGCAATAACAACAACTACGCCTCTGTCCGTCCCAAACAAGTTGGAGTAAGCAATATGAATCCTTATTAACAATTCATGTCAAGAAATGTACAGGATACATGGAAAAAAAAAAAATAAACACCTTTGCTATAATGTTGAGACAAAAAGTCAGTATCTGTGTATGGTTATCCTTTCAAAAGTACATGTGAAGAATAACAATTTATTGAATGGCATCTTGAAAATTTGTACAGAACTGGGAATAATATGAGATCAGAACAAAACAGGATACATGAATTCTGCAAGTTTTGGATATGCCTTCAAGTTATAAATTATTTTCTTCATTTTCTATCATATCGCGAACCTCAGTAACGACTAAATATGCTTTGTGGCCTCCAATTACTTCCGCTTGTTTATTTCCGTCCCTCCATAACTGCACATAAGCAACATTCATACTATCATTTAACCATGAAGATGATAAGAAGCATTTGAAGCTAAAACCATACGAGTAAAGTTAGCTTTCGAGCAGCTAAACAAAATGAGTTTGTTACCTGTATGGTCGGCATTTTCTGTTCATGTTTTGTTGCCACAGAGATTTGGACACATGAAAATGTAGAATTTCACATCATTAAATGAATATGAATAAATTCAAATCACAATATTGCACATACTAATCAAACAATTCTAATGAACAGTACCACTTTATACAAATGAAAAGGAGTGTTTTTAACTAGTAACATCTGCTTTTAGCAAGTAAAGGATTTATACATCTTAATATCTTATGACAGCTGCATGCTAGCTGTATATATTGAGTGGAGTCTAAATTGTGGGGTGAAAATCATATCTTTTGCTCTCTGCCACATTGCCCGAAAACAGATGGCCTAGTTGAAGCTTATGGGTTTGGAATTCTAATCTTTTTAAGCTACTGGGTTCTAAATTTATTTGTATATTTTCAATGGATTTCTTAGACGAATACAGACAAATATAGGGTTTGGATCAAAGCTATTGAGTTCGGCCGAACCTGCAACCGAAATGCTAGCTCCGCCCTGCCTAGTTTAACCATCACGAGGTAAAGCTATCTTCTACTTATTTCTAATTTCAGAAATCGTGTGCATGTAAACATTTTTCTAAACATGCTGTATCAACTTTTACAGTCAAACTACGCCCTATCGTCCTATTTATGGTTTTCTAGCCATTGTTTGCTAATTCACCTAAAGGTACTGCATCTCCTAGTACATGTAAAATAGGTACCTCTTATCTAATTAAACTGTAATTTATTATTACTTCTGAAAAGATTATTGGATTAGGTATTCGGCCAGACAGATAACACGAATTTGGATGCAACGCATCTGGAAAAATTCTACTTGGGTCTGGACTTTAAGGCCAAGAAATCACATCCAGCTTCAGCATCTAAGCTCAATTAAAAGCTATAGGATTTAGCCGCAAGGGGGTAGATTTTAGCAATCGAGGAATTGCGGTAACACTCCTAAGAACCAAGGTTCGAATATCAACAAATGCAACACCACGTCGGTCTAAGCCTTAGCCAAAGAGTTAACCAGATACCTAGGTGAGAGGAGCAGGTACTTGATGAATTGATTGAAGTGCACATTATCTGGCTAGGACACCATCATTATTAAAAAGAATAACTACGTACAATCCATTGACAGTCTAGAAAGAAAAAAGATTTTTTTATGCTTTCGTAAGGGAATGCTGCAAACTGGCTAGTTGCAAAGATGGTGTCTCAAACAGCCTGAGGAGTTTGAGTAAATTTTTATATGCTTTACAAGTTTAGTAGTCAATATTCCTGAGCCGAGGGTCTATTGGAAACAGCCTCTCTACCTTCCCAGGGTAGGGGAACGTCACGTCTGCGTACAACACTACCCTCTCCAGATCCCACTTGTGGGATCCCACTGGGTTTATGGTTGTTGTTGTAAGTTTAGTAGTCAATAATTACATAGCAAAAAGACATCAACCATTTGGTAGATTTAGGGGAAAGGAAACCTTACAGTTATTCCTGCACGAACCACAAGCTTGTGTGGAACATTATTGACATCAACACAGTAAAAGCGTGTTCTGTAAAATCAAGATAGCAGAAGATTCAGATCAGTACCCAAATTCAACTAAAGCTATTCAATCGCAAGAAAGTGATGCACAATGCATACCAAGTACACACAAGATACTTCATCCGCAAACAAGCAGTTAAGCATGAGCAATTACTGCCTTAACTAAAAATTGATCCTTGAAATTCTAGTTTTAGAAGTAATATAAATAGCCACCGTCCTCATCCAAATTTATGAACTCGAGTAATTTAAGTGTCCTCAATCCTTCCCTGCTATCTGAATCACCGGGACTTATTTGATAACATGAGAACTGTTCACCAATTTATTATTGAGTCTTTCAGGAAGCAATAAAAGAACTACAAGAGAAAAATTCAGAGCACGTAATCCTTCTCAAAAATATTCACAGAAACTAGCAATAAATGTCACAAAAATCCAAAGTTTTGAAATATCTCATATGACAGATAGCGACAAGTTTGAAGAGTAGTGCGGAAGTTGATCAGCAAAAAGTTTGAAGAGGAGCACAAAAGCTAATCGCAAATCGTGCAGGAACAAATTGCAAAAAAAGTACACTTTAGGCCTAGATAAAGCCTTTTTAATGCAAGGTGCTATATCTGAAGGGAGATGCAAGAGAGCACAACCTTGGGAAGTAGTCAGCAGCTAATTTTTCCAATTTTGGTTTCAAGTATATGCATTTGCGACACCAGGTTGCCATCCTGCAGATTCAAAAAGATTCAAAATTACATCAACTTAATACCAGCTTCTTTCTTGATAATATTTCATATATTACATATAAATAACCTTTTCCAGAAGAATAACTGATACAACATCTATATGCTAAGCCACAGACTTATTTAAGACTAAGGTGTTTCAATCTTTTGCAGGGCCACAAAAGTGGAAACTATTCTAGGTTTCCCAATACATGCATCAGTAGAAAAAGATTGTGACTCCTAGAAGCAAAATGGAACACCTTCCTCTTCTAAAGGGCAGCCCGGTGCACTAACCTCCCGCTATGTGGGGGGAAGGACCACAAGGGTCTATTGTATGCAGCCTTACCCTACATTTCTGCAAGAGACTGTTTCCACGGCTTGAACCCGTGAGTCCGTGACCTCCTGGTCACATTGTACATGGAATAAGGATCAGAGACTAAATATGAGAATTCAAACCATTCACTTCTACCCTGCTATGCTAAAGTTACGAGAGGCACATGGAAACTACAAATGAAACTCTTGCATCTGCCTAGGAATGTAAATGGGTATTAAATTTCAAACATGTAACCTGTACAAGAAACTCTTGCATCTGCATAGTGTAGAACATTGTAAGACACTATACATAATTGAGCCCTCTAATTGCATGTAATCTCTCAATATTTGGAACTTTTCATGTGTACTTCCTATATATTAGCACTTCTTATTGAGTTATTTGTTTCACATTTTCAGAAATTTCATTCCATCACTTGGTTGACTTATACTCGAGCCATCCCCATAACTACTGTTCTACCAATATAACATGCCAAAATACCAAATTATAACAAAAAAAAACACACAGGGGCGAAGCTACATAGCCCTAAGGATGGTCAATTGACCACCCTTCGACGAAAAATTATATAGGTAAAATATTAGATTTTTAGAGGTATATAACATATATTACCCTTTTTTTCTACTTCTTTCAAGTTTGTAGATGAAATTCGTGGCTTCTCTACTGTAAAACACATCCTTTACACAACGCCAACTTCAAATACTAATAAAACAGCATAAAACCCCAAAATACCAGCATGAAGTTCTAGTTAAGCTCCACTCCATATTTCCATTCAAAAATAAAAGGCCAACATGAGAAAATAAAACCAATTTACTCTGCTTTTTACAAAAGACAACTGCAAAATTAATTACAAACCAAAAAAGGCAAAAAAAAAACTTTATAACCCTTTTATTTTTTTTCCAATTAGATAATAACCCTTTATTTCTTTCATATGTTCCAACAAGAAAATAATGTTCTTGCGCTATTTTTTCCATATGAAAGACATGAATCACAAATACGAATAATTCACGTACCATAGAATTACAACGGATTCATCAATTTGCTGGGCTTCAGAAATGACCCGATCAAATTGAGCTTCACTAGAAATAGGTTGTAGCTCAACTGAAGCTGGTGAATTATCAAGATCTTGTACAGAACTTTCTTCACGGTTATTTTCCAAAACCTCAGCTCTAGCTCTGAATTTTAAATGAATTTTTGAACAATTTACAGATATTGGGAAGACATGCATTAATTTTAGACATTTGAAGTTTGATATGTAGGATTGGTTTGATTTCTTGGGATATAATTGTTGAATAACTGGAGAGAATTGTGTAGAGCTAGACATTGGGTTGACCTGCTGTTGGTTATGAATTACGAGTCACATCACAGGGGCAATTGGCAGTGTAGTTGAAGAAGGGGAGAGGAGTTAAGCGTGCATTGCACGTGCAACGTTGGCGTCTTTGGCAGGCATGCGATGTCCCATTTAGGGGTCCTTTTTCGTTATTAAGCGACCTGAAGCTTGAACCGATATGTCTAATTATGCATTGGATCGCTTCATTCCTAGAACTTGAATCTGGGACGTCTGTTTATGTATTTGCTTTGGTTGACTCTAAATGTACTTATTTTTATGTGTTTTTACTTTATATTGCAATTCAGTATTACAAATTTTAGAATTTGCTCCATGAGCTCGTTGTAATGTCTTTGATTATGCCAGATTTTCTTCTAAAGAATAAACAAGTATATTATGACATTGAGATTAGTTTTACTAATATTAGCTGTATGAATGCGCCTAGTGGTGCTGAAGAGGCTTTTATTTTTGGATAAAAGATGATATATAAGCGTTATTGATTTTCTATGCTCTTAGCGTTGTTAGAATCCAAGATTAGAAGGAAAAATTCAATAGACATTCCAATATCCATTTCCTAAGATAGATAAGAGTTCGGCTAAAATAATAGTCATGATACCCCTCCTCCCCGTCTACGGGTATTCGCCTCCAAAGTCTCTCTTATAATAGGTTGGAAAACTCCGTATTAAGAAGAAGATTTGGAAAAAATCACCAATCTTACAGAAGCCAAAAGCCACAAATGAGTAGCTATACAAATCAAAATTTCAAAAGCCAAAAGAAAGATTTGAAGAAAAGAAAGAAGTTGGCTGAAACGAGTCAACTTTTCATACTTTTTGCTAACTCGATTTTAATACTAAGTAAGCTCCCATCAAATAAGTAAGAAAATTCAATTACAATGTAAAGAGAGAGCGTACGAGAGTTAGAAAAAGGAACTTGGAAGGAACATATTACCAATTCTAACTTTTGAATAACTAATAAATTTCAAGGGTAGATCTTATTATTATATCAAAATAAATATTCTTTCAATCATTTTCGATGAAACCAAAAAAATGAAAAAAATTCTAAAAGAATAAAACCTCAAGACTCAATTAGAGTGTAAGAACAGAAAATGAAGCAATAAACATATTCTCTATATATGGCCATATGTTTTGAGTAACAGGCAATCAAATCACATAATATTTCTTCCCTAAACGACAATAAGAATAAAGATTGCGGGACAAAGATAAAAAAAATGATTGTATCAAAATCACAAGCTTGAGACTTATTCAGAAAAGGAGAACACTCTGAGAACCATACTACATAGTATAAAATAGAATTTTGTATAATAATAGACTTGAAAATATCTGCAGCCATTGTTTGTATTACCAAAATTTTAACTCATAAACTTTGGATGATTTTGGAGAGAGCTGAATAGGACCCAATAACTGCTGATATGACACCAATTATGATAATAAGTATACATGCTGATACCTGCATAAAAGAGGCAGTGTTATCAAAAGCGAAAAGCGCAAAAAAGCTTTAAGGTCTGCTGGGGCTTTAAGCGCAACGCGCTAAGAAAGCGTGGGCTTCGGTGAAAAAAGGCGCAAAAGGAGAAGCAATACAAATATGTATTGGCTAGTCAAAGACTAATAATTATAAGCATGAATTAAAAATATATGAACAAAGAAATTGAAAAAAAAAAGATTACGATAAAGTGAAATATCAATTGTCTAGTGTTGCCTCTTTAGAATTACGCTCATTAGCAAGGAAAAGTATGCCTTAGAGCTTTGAGGGCGACACTGAAGCGTCGACTAAGCAACGCAAACCGCTCAACATGTGTTGCACCTCGCTTCAAGGCTTAAGCACGCTTAATGCGTGCCTTTGACAACACTGAGAAAAGGATAAAAGAACAAGTTCCATCACCAAGGACGGTAATGCTAACAACGTGGATGATGAATTAGGAGACATATAGTTTACATAAATGTACATATCAGAGGCAGATTTAGGGCGGGTTCAGTGGTTCGACTAAACCCATTACTTTTGACTCAAACTATATATGTACATATGCAAAAAGATTCAGAATATGTGTGTGTGTTTCTATATATATAAAGATGTTTATATTTTATAACATACAAAGAACAATTGGGAAATAATGTCGTTTTTAACACAAGGTTTATACATAATGTAATTCAAATTAATTCGACTATATAAGCTGATGAGTCGATTGAGTTTTGACTAAAACTTGATAATTACCGTGTTTTTCACCTAAACTAACAATTAAAACAAAGTATACGCGCGCTATCTTTGTCCTATCTGATAACAGAGGGAAACATCTGTTGTACCTGAATTGGACTTGTTTTTCCTTTCAATATTCTCAAGAAGCAAGCACAAGGTAGGATCAATGTCTGGAATAATAGAAAGATCATATATTAGTACAAATCTATAAATACAAAAAACGGAAACAGAAAACCTATTTAACAAAAAACATAAACTGGTAGAAAAGGACTCACAACTAGCATTGTAAATAATGATCCAATCAATGCCATCACAAATCCTGCAGGTTAAAGTAAAAAAGTCTTTTAAGGCAATGAATGTTACATAGGTAAGTTTAATATCACAGTTCTGTTGATATTTTTGGGAGCAAGATCGCTCCTAAAGCGTTAAAGGGGATTAATAACACACTGTTCAAGTTATATTGATAATTATAGCAGCTTACAACAACAACAAACCCAGCGTAATCCCACATGTAGGGTCTGGGGAGAGTTAGTATGTATGCAGACCTTACCGCCACCTTGAGAAAGTAGAGAGGTTGTTTCTGGTAGACCCTCGGCTCAGAAAAGATACAAAGGCAAAAATGATAAAGATAATTATAGCAACTTAACTTACCAAAAAAAGGAACTTTAAGCGCCACAAGTAATGTGGATATCACAAGTGCAGTTCTAATAAGGACTCCGTACATGTGAGATTTGGCGTGGTTCGATGGTATCAACTCCTCCAAACTCATAGCAACAGGGGCCATGGTTAAAGCATATGTGTTTCTAGTTAAGGAAGATATTCTACCTTTGCCAAAATTATCTTAAAAGGAAATTTTCTAAAGTTCCCGCTATGAGCGGGGTCCGGGGAAGGGCCGGACCACAAGGGTTTATTGTACGCAACCTTACCCTGCATTTCTGCAAGAGGCCGGCTCGAACCCATGACCTCCTGGTCACATGGAAACAACTTTACCAGTTACGCCAAGGCTCCCCTTCCCTTATCCTCAGTTTGACGTCTTATTTTAATAACATATTTGAAGTAGTGCAATGCAGTGAAAAGAATAAAATCATGGAGTCCAGAAAAGGATATTTTGTGAATGGATTAACAATCTGCAAAAGAAGCAGAAAATTGTCATCACATGTTCAAGTAGTTGTATCAAGGAGAGAACATAATCGATCAGGTTTTACTTACGGTTGTCCAAAAAGCAATTTTGGAGGCAACTAAATTTGTGGGCAAGTTTAGAGTAAACTGGGATTCAGCTGAGTCGCCAAACATCATGTATCCCATCACAGCTGCTCCAGCATACAACACAGTCACAATACCGAAACTGCATCCAAATTATATCCATGTTAACAAAAATAAGGAAACAATATGATGCAAAAAAATTCAACAAATATTAAATTCCCAACGCATAATTTCAAAAATACAATGTGTTCAGGCTAAGAGTTTCATCATTTGAAACCGACATGTTTGACTATTGGGTCCACCTCGGATTATCTACACGAACAAAGTTTAACGTACATGCATTAGTTTCCGCAAAACTAAATACCTGGTTAAGAGGACAGCAGGGAATTGACTGCGTTTCTCCAATGATGTATATATATTGGGAAAAACTGCATGTCCGGAGTAACAGTATCCATAAAGTCCGATAGCAACAGGGAGACTAGAAACATTCAGTACAGTATGTTCGCTTTGAGAGCCAACATGATCCACTAAGCCAAGCCAGTACAAGCAAATGACGACCATTACAGAAGCAATAACTCCTCCAGCTGAAAATTATACACATCCATTTCAGAATTCTCATTGTCCAACACTTGTTTTCTGTTTTTAGTTTTCATTGTCCAACAGTCGATACAGGAAAATGCCAAAACTTTAGTAGTATCATAAGAGAAGCTCACAAGAACTAGACAATTTTTTCAGTGTGTGTGTGAAGGGGAGCCTTGGGTAACTGGTAAAGTTGTTGCCGTGTGACCAGGAGGTCACGGGTTCAAGCCGTGGAAACAGCCTCTTGCAGAAATGCACGGTAAGACTGCGTACAATAGACCTTTGTGGTCCGGCCATTCCCCGAACCTCGCGCATAGTGGGAGCTTAGTGCACCGGGCTGCCCTTTTTTTTGTGTGTGCGCGCGCGCACGCATAGAAATGCTATCAGCCACCACTTTTGGCTATACAGATATGAAGCTCTTCTTATAGGAAGTTAGCCACTTACCTGAGATGCAACTAAGAACTGTGAGATCGCGCAACCAAACGGTAGGAAGAACAGCTAAGGTGGTTATCAAAGCAAAGAGATGCCGTGCATCTAATTGAAACCCTCCCAAATTTAAATGTGCATTTGGAAATAAAGCCGACAGGTTATCGCCCTCCAAAATTATGTATTCAACACAACAGGACTGCAAGTGAAGGACAACAGTAATGAAGCACATATCAGGATGAGGCACACATTTAGAAATTAAAAGGACAAAGGATGTTACGGACGACGTGCAGGCAACATAAACTTACATATAATTCCACGTATAATATTATCTGCATCCACAAATACATAGAACAAGAAAGAAGCAGTATCAGAAATCGGTGATGATTGCATACATTTGCTTAAAGTGTTAAATATGTAGCTAGTCTAAGATTATCTACGTATCAGGAATCGTTGATGATTGGCCAAAAAGTTAAAATATGTTCCACAGCGATTCCTCAGCATTCTTTACCTACAAAATTTATCATCTTTATATCTCTGTTATCAAGCGTTGGTTGAAGTGCAAAGACAACTGAAAGCCAAAAGGACATACCGATATGATAATTCTTCCCACTGTACCAAAGGCTGCCTGACCAATATCCGGATAAGTCTCGAGCCCTGGTTGGCTGTCCAAGCAGTATCTGAGGAGAATGCCAGTATAGTAAGATAGCACACCGAAGATGAATAATATAGAAAGCCCTGCCCATCCACCTTCCTTCACAGCATAAGGAGTAGAAAGGATTCCTACTCCACA